TCCAGTACAATATTTTAAGTTACCCATAGTCTACTCATTAATGGGCAAGCAAACCAATCAAAATACAATATTCTGCTCTGGACAGAAATACGTCAGCTTCTGGAATCATGTAATCAAAAGAAAACTCTCCCGCTGCAGTAATGAAATCGCTCCAAAGGTAACTCCTCTTGCTAATAAAAGATTGCTGCCCTTTCAGATAGATTGGCCCTTTTCAGGAGCAACCAGCCCAGCTGTCAATTGTCAGAACACATTTCACCCAGGCAGCCTGAGGTGCAGTGTGATGCCCCCTGACCCCCACCAGTGGGCAGAGGTGCTCAGTGTAACCACCGCTAAGATGAATTCTCCTCCCCCTCTGAAGTCACCTCCACAGCTACAGTTTGCACATCAACTGCTCTGTGCAAAATATTGCTAGCTGCGTAAGTGCCACCTCTCATTTCTGTTGCAGCAACTACTTTAACCATGAAAAATAAAGAATTAGAAAGACCTAGGCATTAAAGTCTAGAATTTTGTTACATTCCCAAGAGGATACTGAAAAACAAGAGTAGAAATGGAGCAGGTCGGAAACATTCTAGGAAGGATTAACAGCATTCAGAAATGCTCTAAGAGGTTATCATACAATTAATGCAAAACAGATTATTTCTGAGAAATTAAACAAACGGGTTTTTTTTTTACTAAAGTGTTGCTCTGGGCAAGAAACACTAAGGGAAATTCAGAATCCCTTGCATGAAAAGTCTTTGCAGCTCACTCCAACACAGGAACTCCAGAAATCAATTCTGTCCATTTTACAAAGGACAACCTATGACAGAGGCTCCATGAGTTGCCTGATACTACACCAAGCTCTAGGTCAGTGTCACTGATAGACCACTTGCATCCCAAGCCAACACTGAGAGCCCCGTAAACCACCAGATACAGATTTATTTGAGTAACAGTATTGCAGAGACACACTTCGATGAAGCCCCAGGGCTTTTTAACAAAGAGAACACACCCGGTTTTCTAGGGACTCCAGCAGGAATAACTACAACATCACAGCCCTTCAGACATTCTGGCAACTGCTCAGGTCCCAGGAAGCCTGGAATAGAAGAACATTCAGGCATTATGTTTTTGCCAGTTATTAAATATCTGGCACTTTGAAGTACAAAATTATGCCTAGAGGCACCCAATTCCTTTTTTAATTTAGCCTTCAACTCAGACTTATGCTGAAAAACAAAGAAATACAGTTATGAATGGATCCTATTTGATATTTTATCCTTGTTTCAAAACTTACAGAATGAGAGGTGGGAATCTCACATTCATCTGTTGCAAAAACCCTCGGTTCCTTCTGCTATGTGTATTTACCCTCCCAAATCCCTAGCTCAGCACTAGTCAGTGCCCCCAGAGAACTGCACACAGACACATTCAAGCAAAATATAACCTCTTTGTGATTTGCAGATAAAACGAAGATCAATGGATTTTGTCAGAACTTGACAGCTGTCCCTCCAGAAAAAAAAGCACACAGAATTCATGCAGACACCCAGGAAATGTTAAGTCTGTTTGTAATCAAACTTTTAAATTCAATGCTCAGGCTTTTTTCAGAGATGATTTTACTGAACATTTCCTGCCAGTTATTACAAATTCTCCTTCAACAGTGCAACCACAGACCATTTTCATCTCCACACGTGTCAATCTAATCAGCTAAACCTTAATGTCATGCACTGCTTGAGAAAAAGCTACCTAAATTGATGCTAGGCTTCAGGGTCACGTGAAAATTCCCCTTCACAAGCAATGGGTGACTCCAAGTGTCAGAGACACCCAAGAGGACCCCTTCATAACACAGCCGCTCGCAGTACCTTTAACACTTGCTCTTGTCTCGATGTGGCTGAGGTCAGCTGCAACGCCTGGAGTGTGAGCGATATCATAAAGGCTGAGCCTGCTCACCAGCGGGCTGTTCTTCAGGAGAAGGGAGAGAGGCTGGCCAATGCCTCCCGAGGCCCCCAGCACTGCTACCTTGGCATTGTTCTGAGGAAAAAAGGAAAACACATTGTAGAGATGTTCTGGTAGTTACTGCAGCAGTGACCTTGGGGATTTCACCACACTTTCTTTACTTTTAGTTCTATTTCTCAATTTTTTTATCAAGCACTATGCAAACTTGATTGCCTAAGCCCACAGAAGCTGATCATCAGAACAGCCTCCCAAAGATCCTTGAGGTTTGTTGGGAGCACAAGTGAGAGGAAAATGTTCTTTTGCGATCAAAAGCTCAAAAAGGGAGTGAGGCTATGCAAAGAAACACCAAAGGATTAGTGTCTGCTTAAGGCTACCTGCTACCCTGTTGCACCTAAGTCTGACTTAGGGCAAAATCTGTTGTGCAGTTTTTTTAGTTTTCATTGCCAGTATCAAAAGAAAATATGCCTTCCCACTTGGCAAATCAATACATTTAACAGACTACAGTAAAAGTAACCATGTGAAAAAAGTGTATATGCCTAAAATAAATGCAAATAGTACCTGCAGCTGCCTCAAGATTGAGGCCTGAGAACACTGATATAATTTCCAGCTTTGATCAAGCATGGCTGAGAAGCAAGTAAAACCAACTCTTGCTTTGTTGCCCCGGTGAACCAATTTAATGTGCTCACTGGATGAATGTTATTTCTCTCAAAAAGGCCTGTGCTCTTATTTGTAGAGAAAGTGTCACCAGATGAGAGGAGAGCTACTCTAAAAGACCAGAACAATCTTAAAACGCAACACTCTGCCAAAGTGATGGAGAACCAGAGGCTGCTGCAGAGACGTAATGTGTTAATATAATTATCTCTGATAAGGACATTCTCTATCACACTGTCTTACCAGATAAAGCCATAATAGCTCCAAGTCCCTGCATGAACAGCTTAATTATTATGCTATGACAAGGAATAATCTACCCAGGAGCTAGATCAGTCTATCCCCAGTTCAGTTTTCTTGCTATAGCAACAAATGTAATTCAGCATAAAAATCTCCAAGGGGAAGCAAAGTCTAGCATTAGTCACTGCCATGCCCCACATTTACGACCAAGCTGATACCATGAGGTCAAAACCTCATTGATAACATATATAATCCCTATCAAAATAATTACACAAGGCTCTCTTGTAAAGCACATCTTTATAGCTACGATAATCACTCTGGCATATGCTACCGGGAACTATTTCTGTCAGAAGTCCGAACCTAGCCACCCCCTCCCGTAGCAGCAGGGCACCCCCGGTACCGAGGGTCATGCACGAAGATTTCAGCATATTAAGGATCGCTGTTAAACCCCCAACCGCCGGCTTTAGTTTTTAACACTTTTTGAAAGCAAGGCCGTGTGCTCAGCAGGGGAAGGCAGCAGCAACCCACCCCGCCCGTCACCCGCTGCAGACCACCAGGGAGGGAGGTTCACCACAACTGACAGCTCTGGCGAAAGGCCGGAGCCCCCCGGTGCCCGCCAGCGCGGCTGCTCCCCCCCCCGCGAGCTCTGCTCCTCACACCCCCCCGGCCGAGGCGGACACA